AAAAAAAAGAATCTGAGCTCAATGCCTGGGTCCCACATAGTAGGAGAGAATTGACTTTTCCAAGTTGTTCTTGGAGCTCTACACCCATGCTGTGACACACACACACACACACACACACACACACACACACACACACACAGAGAGAAATTTTTAAAAATCATTAAAAGGTCCTCTTTACAGAAAGCAAAATTAAGAGTTCTGTTGTACTTACAATTGCCACTTATTAAAAAAAAAACAAAACAAAACAAAACCCTCTTGAAATAAGAAGCTTGTCAACTAGAAAAGAGTCTAAGGCAAAGATACTGTCAGACCATCTTTATTTGGGCACCAGCTTCAAGCATCTAGCCACAGTGCTCCGACATGCTGTCCTTCCTTCTCTCCACCGGGAGGAGAAGAAATGTTAGCTTCAAAGGAAACATTCAGCTGATACTGCGGTGCTGAGCAGAAGCAGGCAGTTGCTTTCTAACGAGCCGTGCAATGCAGTGTGAGAACAGTGCTGTGCTGCAGGTCCTGTGAGACATGGGAACTCACTGGACAGCCTCTGGAATCCCTCTCCTCCCCAGACTTAGCCAGAAGAACTCAAATGGTCTGGCCTACTCTACAGCATGCTGACACATTTACTTCTTACAGCAGCTCTAAAACCATGGCGCACATCTAGGATCTGACCCAAAGAAGTCAACCCAAAAGCCAGACCGTCCTCTCCAGGACTATGACATCTTTAAAACAGGGACAGACATCTTCCCCCTCTCCAAATTTTTCTTTCTCCTTGTCACAGTAGTATTAAGAGTGAACAAGGCAAGAAATGATGGCCTCGTTTCCAGATCAAAGCATTTATTTCTATACCTATTATATAGCAACTATAAACATGACTTATAAATATGCAGGAAAATAGTGTCTCCCCGTCTTTTTTGTTTGTTTGTTTGTTTTTTGAGACAGGGTTTCTCTGGTACCCTTGGCTGTCCTGGAACCACTCTGAAGACCAGGCTGGCCTCAAACTCACAGAGATCGCCTGCCTCTGCCTCCTGAGTGCTGGGATTAAAGGCGTGCGCCACCATGACTCAGCTTTTCACCCTCCCTTTTCTAAAGGTACGAGTCAAACTGAAAGAAAAACAGACCATGCAACACTTGTCACACATTTCATGTGATGAGTTTCTGATGCTTTAATGGAGTAGCATGAAGGAAGCCACCAAAGTCAGCCCTTGCAGTCTAATGTCTTAAAGTCCACACCCTTTCACCTTGAATGTGTGGAAGAAGAAAGAGCAGAAGAGAAAATCACTTCCACCTGGACCACTGCTTTTCTTTATCTGTTAAAGGCACATATATCACCCCCATCAGAGGCTTCATTTTGACACTGCCGTCTTGTAGTTTATCATACTGCTCCAACATTTGGTTTCCTCCTGCAGGACCGACTGGCAATATCAATCTTCCACCAGGCTTTAACTGGTCTATTAGCTAGAAGAAAAAAGAAAACCCCCACATACACACCAAATTACAGAAGGGAAACAGCCACAGTCATTCAACAGTATTCTAAACAATGCTCCATGTCCACGGGCAGAAGCAGAAACACACTGTGTGTGGTCACTTCTTAGTGTCCTTAGGGGTTGCTTCCAGGATCCCTCCGGCATAACAAAACCCATAGTGGCTCAAGTCCCTTACAAAAGTGGCACAGTACTTGCATATAAAACACTCTGCACACTCACCCACATCTGAGCCATCTCTAGGTTACTAGTATTACTAACAGAGGCCCTGTGCATCCCTCCATTGCATGGATTCAGCACAGTACTCAGTTCAGCAAACTTAAATGCTGCTCTTTCAATTTTATGGACCTCCCCCCATCCAAAAAAAAAATATTTTTCAGTCCCTCTTGGTTGAACGTAGTAACCAACTCCCACTTACCCATTTATCTCTCAGCCTCCCCTACTAAGCTACAAGTAATCTGATGATAGACTATGCTGTACTTATCTCTGTCCTCAGAGCATCTGACCGAGACACCTGGTACAATTAAGAGCTCAATATGTTTGGGCAGAACTAACTTCAACAGAGAATCCTAAATGGCAGTGTAGTGTGTTCCAGATCTTTGTGGAAGGGCAGACAGAGAAGGGAAAAGTACAGAAAATTAACAAGGAACTGCTATCCTATTACCGTGGAATCTAGGGCATCACTGAGACAATGGTAAGGGAATCCAAATGCCGTGACTGCATTTAGGATTCCTGGCACCAGGAGAGTGAGAAGGTAGGGCTGGGCTCCTTCGCTATTATGATGAGGATAATCCAATGAACACAGAACCAGACTACCCTTTCCGGTCTGAAAATGGTTAAATCATATGCTACCCTTTGAATAATATAACCTTATGTTATTCAAAATCAGCAAGAAAGAAACCTGACTTTATGTTATTCAATACCAGCAAGAAAGAAACCTGACTTTATGTTATTCAAAACCAGCAAGAAAGAAACCTGACTTTAGATAGGATAGTACTGCCCTAGAAAAGGCTGCTTTCAGTTAAAATTTGGTCACCAGATCTTATTTTTTTCCATTTTAATTTTTTTTAAGGAACACTTGATTATTGAGTTGCCCTTAACTTATTTTCCTGAGTTCTAACAGTTCTAATGAAAAATAGGAGACATCTTCCTCCACCCCCAGGCTTGCTCCCAAAGCCTGTCTTCTACATCTTCTTAGCATCACTTTTATACTTCAAATCTAAATAAGGACTGAGCTTTTATTTTTAAAAAAAGATTTATTTATTTATTATGTATACAGTGTTCTGCTTGCATGTGTCCCTGTAGGCCAGAAGAGGGCACCAGATCTCATTACAGATGGTTGTGAGCCACCATTTGGTTGCTGGGAATTGAACTCAGGACCTCTGGAAGAAAAGTCAGTGCTCTTAACCTCTGAGCCATCTCTCCAGCCCGGACTGAGCTCTTAATATGCAGACTCCTCCTGTCCCCAAGCCAAACAATCATAATTTGTACAAATCCACATTAAACTAAGACTGTATGAAGACAGCCTGAGTTCTGAGTTGGAGGCTCCAATGATTCTTATACCCAGTTCAAGTTCCATCATCATATGCCTCCTCGACTACTTGCAAAATTCTCACATAGACATTTTCTTTTCTATCTAATAGACTATCAACATTTAGTATTAACAAGAATGTATGAAAATCTAGGTATATTCTGAACTTCATCTGAAACTCATCGCTACATTGATACATAAATATTTTAAGTTTTAGGACTAAAACACACAAATACAAAAAAAATAAAATCCCAACTCACTGCCTGAGGCACAACTGGGGCTGCAGCTCCTACATGGATAGCGTCGTATGGGGCTTCTTCAGCGTATCCCATTCTTCCGTCACCCACTGAAAAAGAAGTTACACTTTGAAAACCTGTTCGTCCAAACTTGTGAAGAATTCTCCCAGGAAAATGACAATGGAGTGGGAGAAGAGATCTGCATGACTTCACATACCCTTAAGACATAGAAGGACTGGGGGAAGAATGGCTAGCCTAACCACACTAAAATTAAGAATTTCTATTCAGCACAGGGGCTGGGGTATAGCTCAGTGGTACAGCACCTGCCTAACACGTGGGAAGGTTTGATCAAGAGGAGCACCAAAACAAGTAAGGTAACAATAAAATGAAAATGCATACCACCAAGGGGGGAAAATGTAGGAAAGTAACAAAAGACTAACCTCTAGAACACCTACATCAAAGATAAATACACACAACGGGATGTCTGAACAGTTACCTCACAAGAGGGAAATCCAAATGGGCAAATATGAAAACAAATTCACCCCAACCATGAGCAGGAGTTGCGATCATAAGCAATGCAATGCTGTGTGTTGGTTAAAATGGACAAAAAGAAGCTGTTTTTATACTCTGCATTTCAACGAAGGTGAAGGGTACAACTCTAGCTGTAAGCATTGCTCAGCTTGCATACTTCTACAAATGAAAACCCACTTAAAAAGAAACGCTCAGTTTTCTCCTACTCACCAACCAGCCGTACTCGCCCCGAGGTCAGAAGCATCGGGTCGTCCTTTTTCACATTATTTATTGAGTCATCTACTAGTTCTTTAATGTGATCAATTCCTATGACTTTCCCATTTTGTCCAACCTGGAAAACAAAAAGTAGTTCAAGAGCTTGCAGGGCTAAATTTGCTTTTCTGAAGTGCCTTTAAAATGTTTCCTTAATTAAAACCATATTCTGCAATGAGAAATAAAAATAAACAGTTGAAGTCATTAATCTAAACTCTCAGTTTTTCATAATTACTATATTCAGCTTTTTCAACTTTTTGAATAATTTTATTTAAGCAATTATAAAGTTACAATAAATTACAAAACTTTGTAATACTAAGAAAATTGTATTCTTTTTAGACTTCTAATTTCTGTGCTGTCCTGGAACTCACTCTGTACCAGGCTGGCCTCAAACTCAGAGATATGCTAAGATTAACTCAGCCTAGATTTCTAATTTTTAAATCCAGAACTTATTCAGGTGTGGTAGATGGCAACCTTACACTTGAGCAGCAGAGGCAGGTGGATCAGTGAGTTCAAGGCCAGCCTATTCTACACAGTGAGTTCCAGCCACAATTATATGGTGAGATCTGTCTCAAAAAACTTAATAGATTTTTGCCAGGTGGTGGTGGCACACATCTTTAATCCCAGCAATTGGAAAGCAAAGGCAAGTGGATTTCTGTGAATTCGAGGCCAGCCTGGTCAACATAGTGAGTTCCAAGACAATCAGGACTACGCAGTGAAACCCTGTCTTGAAAAAACAAACAAACAAACAAACAAACAAACAAACAAAACCCAGTATTTTTTCCCCAGAACTTTGAGGTAGGATTTAACTAACAATATTTACTTTGTATGAACTCTAGTAAAAGGATAATTTAAAAACTACTCCAATATTGACCCAGGCATGGTGGTACATGAGTTTAAGATTTAAGTTTTACAGATCTCTATGTGTCTGAGGCCAGTGAAGGAGACACAGCTAGACTTTGTCTTCAAAAGATAAATTAAAAAAATCAGATAGTATATAAAAAATTTTTAGAAGCCAGGCACTATGATAGTCACCTATCATCCCATAATTTGGGGGGCTGAGGCAGGAGATGACCAGTCTGACTACACAGTGAATTTGAAGCAATCCTGGGTTGTATTATGAGGTCTTATTAAAAAAAAAAATGGTGAGGTGGGATTTTTATATCCAACTCTACCGCTATTAGTGAAAACTATGAAAATATATAAATACAGAAGCCAAGTGTGGTGGTATGTGCCTTTTATCCCAGCACTCAGGAGGCAGAAGCAGGTCAGTCTCTGAATTAGAAGCCAGCCCGGTCTACAGAGCAATTTCCAGGGCGGCCAGGGCTACACAGTGAGACCCTGTCTCAAAAAAAGGAAATGTATAAATACATAAAAAGGACTGAAGTATCATTACTGAGTACAAAAGCGTTAACAGAATACAGGCCTGAACAAACTCCTGGGTCCTACCTGAACTTCCCCACTCACAGCTGCCTGACATTAGGCATGCAAACCCTGCAATCAGGTCCCTCAACTACAAAATAAGAAGAAATGGGGGCCTATGCCACACAGAGGATGAGAAAGGAAAGAACACATGATAAGAGCACAGAACACTGAATACGCACGGGTAAATCATTTTTCAAAGATAACTCAGAAACCTTTTTTTTTTTTCATTTCCTTGCTTATTTTGTGTGTAGGGGGCTTGTGCCATGGCACATGTAGAGAGGTCACAGGAGAACTTGTGGGAGACTGTTCTCTCCTACCACGGGACTGGCAGCAAGTGCCTTTACCCAGTGAGCCATCTTGTCAGGCCCCGATGATATTTTTAAAGTGAATATTCATTTAAAACCAGTAACCAGCAACTCTAGAGAACAACTTTCTAATTAAAGACTATTTCCAGCAGAATGTAGTTTGAGTCACTGGCTGCCATGTTGGGATCACAGAGAGGCTGTGTAATCATGAAGCTGACATGCAGAAAGAAGTCAAGACAATCAACACCCAGAGAGAAACTAATCAGTCAGTGTAGGGAAGTTTCTCGTCCCGCCCGGGATCAGAGGCTTATATATTAATTACTAATTGTTTGGTCTATGGCTCAGGCTTCTTACTAGCTAGCTCTTACATCTTTTTTGTTTGTTTGGTTTGGTTTGGTTTTTCGAGACAGGGTTTCTCTGTGTAGCTTTGCGCCTTTCCTGAATCTCACTTTGTAGACCAGGCTAGCCTCCAACTCACAAAGATCCGCCTGCCTCTGCCTCCGGAGTGCTGGGACTAAAGGCGTGCGCCACCACCGCCCGGCCTAGCTCTTACATCTTAAATTAACCCATTTCTATTCATCGATGTATCGCCACGTGTCTTGTGGCTTTACCTGTGTTGCATTATGTCTTGCTTCCCTGGGCATCTCCTCCGATCCTGCCTTTCTCCTCCCTGTATCTCTGCTTGGATTTCCCACCTGCCTCTAAGCTGCCTTGCCATGGGCCAAAGTAGCTTATTATTTATCAACCAATGGTAGCAACGCATATTCACAGCGTACAGCAAGACCATCCCACAGCAAATCAGTAATAAAGCCTACCCTAGCCGGGCATGGTGGCCATGCCTTTAATCCCAGCACTAGGGAGGCAGAGGCAGTAGACAGCCTGGTCTACTTAGTGCGTTCCAGGACAGCCAGAACTATGCAAAGACCCTGTCCCTCAAAAAGTCAAAATAAAATAAAGCTTGGCTTTCTAAATCCAGCTACATAACAAGTCAGGGAAGCCTGTATGCTTTTCCATTAGACAAGCTAAATATATTCTCTTTGCGTTCTATGGTTTTGGGTTTAAATGTTCTGCCACTTGCAACTATAATCCTAAATGATACATATTAAAATTATCATCTTTTTGTTTGTTTGTTTTTTGAGACAGGTTTCTCTGTGTAGTCCTGGTTGTCCTGGAACTCACTCTGTAGTCCAGGCTGGCCTACACTCTGAGATCCGCCTGCCTCTGCTTCCTGGGTTCTGGGACTAAAGCTGTGTGCCACCACCACCTGGCTGAAATTACCATATTAACAGAACAAAAACAAACAAACTTAAAACTACCAGTAAGAAGAAACCATAGCTAAACCACATACTACATGTCTATCAGGCTCACAAGGGAGGTTAACGTTCTTACCATCCGTGCAAAACAGGCGGTGAGGATCCCGCTTCCAGACCCGACATCCAGGGCTTTAGCACCTTCATGCAACTGGTCAAAGAGAAGTTCTAGTGCGTATGCATGCTGCCAAAAGAAAATGAACCAAACACTCATTTCTTCTTGAGTCCGTGCAGCACTTCATATGAAGAGCTGGCGACTTTCTGCCCAAGTGTCTGCTACCATCACCTCCGCAGACAGCGGAACAGTCTCACACCACAGTGACGGCCTAAGGTAGTTCTGGTGCACAGACCTCCTGCACTATAGTTTTCCTGTAATTTTAGATAACTACTATATAAATTAAAGTCAAAGTCAAAAAACTGAAAAGGAGATTTTCAGTGAAAAGCCCTCAACCCCTTCCCAATCGTCCAGTTTTATTCCCTGAAGGCAATCAACATTGCCAGTTTATTATAATTTTTCTGGAAAAATATTCACTGTGTATGAACAAGCAAATATTGTTTCGCTTATTTCATTTTAAAGGAAAATTCAATAAAGAGGTATAACAAACAGGTGTTCTTTTTTATACCTTAGACTACATTCATATATGAATGCATTATAACAAATATCAATATGGAAGAGATTTAAATTAGCTGCAATCTTCTGTAACAAAAAATGTAATAATGTTATCAAACACAGATGTCAGATAATAACACTCTTCCTAAAAGTTGTATAAAGTGCTGGGTGTGGTGCTACATGCCTTATTCCAGCACTCAGGAGGCAGAAGCCAACCTGGTCTACATAGGAAGTTCCAAGCCAGGCCAGCCAGGGCTACATAGGAAGACCCTGTTGCTGGAAGCCTACTTCCAGAAGGGTCTAATGATGTGGGACGGATGTGTGAAGTTGACGCAATGAAGAAACTGTGACCACGTGTTTCAAACAAGTGGCCCCGGATAGCCTTGGCCATTTTTATTTATACAATTTCAATGGTTTGCATGAAGTTTTACAATCAGATTTGTTCCTTTATGTTTCTAAAAATGGTTACGATGATTACCAGTTTTTCTTTGCTTCTTCCCCCTTCCATCCTGACTTTTCTACTGGTAACCATGACCCATTTGGTCCACAGCTCTATGTTGGAAGCATAAGCAGTGCTATAAGCCACAGAGGAAGTTTTCTAACTAGGCACACCTACAGGTAGAGCAGTGTGCCCAGCTGGCAGCATTTGTGGTACAGCGTCATGTGGGGTGAGAGACAGTTCCGTCTCCAGTGGTTAATATTTACATCTGGTAAGGTCGGGGCTCTCACAATCAACTCATCAGCCGAAGCTGGATCAATTTGTTCTATACTCTGTGCCAGCCCATCTCCTCTGGGGATATACAAGGTTTTCCAAATAGCCTGTAAGCAACTTATCTTAGACACTTACTCTTAATGGTTGGCACTGTTTATCCCTTGTTCTTATGGTCTCCTCTCAACTTCTTTTTTTTTTAAACCGGAGCTGAGGACCGAACCCAGGGCCTTGTGCTTGCTAGGCAAGCGCGCTACCACTGAGCTAAATGCCCACCCCCTCCTCTCGACTTCTTAGGGTATTGGCACAGCTATGAGAGAACTGTGGGCTTCTATGATTCTGCTTCATTCCCTGTCTCTAGACTGTTCCCATTAACTCCTGATATCATCTATTGATTTGCATTTCTCCTAGACTCTAATGGTTAAAATCATTCTCTCCAGAACAGTTATGCAAATATGTAACATTAAATTTCATGAACTACTGTGACTCTTTCAGGCAAGTCACAGGGTACGCTGGAGGGGCAACAGCCTGTTCTTAAGAATTCATAGTCACACTTGAAACATCAAAGGTTTAGGGGCCGAATCAGGTCCACTGTATACTTTTAGTAACACTTCCTCTGGCTCACTCAGAGGAGTCTTCAGAGGGAAGTTTTCCTTTTGTAGTAGCTATTTTGTCCATGACTGAGAGAGTGAAACTAAAGGTACCCAGCAATGTGGCTACCACAGTGAAGCAAGGACAGCAGGTAGCACATGTGTTCCCGGGTCATGCCCAGAACCATGCAGCGAACTGTCCATAGGCTTTGCCAAAAAAAAAAAAAAAAAAAAAAAAAACCCTTATAAAGAATTATCTGGTCCTTCAGGAATGTCAAATGCCTTTAACCCCAGGACTTAGGAGGCAGAGGCAGGGAAGATCTCTGTGAGTTCAAGGCCAGTCTGGTCTACAAGGCAAGTTCAAGGACAGCCAGGATTGTTAACACAGAGAAACCCTGTCTCAAGAAAAAAGAAAAAGAAAAGAATTATCTGTATGTTAAATTCTTAAGAGTAAAAGTAAATGGATAAAATCATATTATGTTTATAGTACTGTGGTGGTTTGAGTGATAATGGCTTCCAGCTGGTGGAGCTGTCTGGGAAGGATTAGGAGGTGTGGCCTTGCTGGAGCAGGTGTGTCACTGGGTAGACTCTGAAGACTCAGAAGCCCAGGCCATTCCCAGTTAACCCATCAAGTCTCTCCTCCTCATCCCATCCTTGTGGCTCAGATGTAAGCTCTCAGTTACTGCTCCAGTACCACCCCTATGTCTGTGGCCAAGCTCCCCACTAGGAATCATAGACTCTAACCCTCTGGAACCATGAGACCCAAATTAAATGCTTGCTTTTATAAACAGCCTGACAATAGAACAGTAACTAAGGAGCTAAAGAGATGACTCAGGGTGAATTCTTGCTGCTCTTACAGGAGACCTGGGTTCAGTTCCAAGTACCTCACATGGTGGTTTACAACCACCCCAGAGTCCAGTTCTGACCTCAATGGGCACGAGGTATACACATGGCACACATACATACACACACACAGGCACTTACACATACACATAAAATAAAAATATTTTTAAAAAAATAACAAAGACAAATATATATATATACAGCCTTCCAAACGCAATTTTACTGTCACCACACACACACACACACACACACACACACACACACACACACACACACGAGAACATGACTACCAACTTCCTCTTTCCAATGTGAAATATTAATAAGATTTTGATCTCTAGTGACCTGACAGATGAAAAATGGCCCTTTACTAACATTAATTTGAAATATACTAAATTTCCATGAAGATGGTAACTTTTTCTTTATTTATTAGTCAATAATACTACATTTCTTTCTCAATAAACTATCAGTCTTGTTCTTTATCTACTTTTCTGTGGGACTTACTGGTCTTTTACTAATTAATTTCAAGGATACACATAAAAATGTATTTGTTATGCACATTTATTGAAAAATTTCCTATATTGTCATATATATTGTAAATATTTCTCAGTTTTTCTCTCCTTAGCTTAGCTTCTAACATTTTTCTCTACAATCCGCCCCCCCCCCATGAGTTAGTCATACTACAGACAGCTCAGGATGACCTTGTGTGGTGGTTTGAAAGAAAACAGCCCCCAAAGGCAGTGGCACTACTAGAAGGTATTGGTCCTGTTGGAGGAAGTATGTCACTGTGGAGGCAGGCTTTGAGGTCTCAGATATGCTCAAGCCACGCCGAATGAGATAGACCATTTCCTATTGCCTACTTATCAAGACGTAAGAATTCTTAGCACTGCTGGGCGGTGGTGGCGCACGCCTTTAATCCCAGCACTCGGGAGGCAGAGGCAGGCGGATCTCTTGTGAGTTTGAGGGCAGCCTGGTCTACACAGCCAGATCCAGGACAGGCTCCAAAACTACACAGAGAAACCCTGCCTCGAAAAAACCAGGGGGAAAAAAAAAAGAATTCTCAGCACCTTCTCCAGTACCTTGTCTGCCTGCACGCTGCCATACTTCTAGCTGTCATGCTCCCCACCATGGTGATAATGGACTGAACCTCTAAAACTGTAAGGGAGCCACCCCAATTAAATGTTTTCCTTCTAAGAGTTGCCATGGTCATGGTGTTCACAGCAATAGAACCGCTAAGATACCTTGTCACTATGTAGCTAAGGCTGGCATCAAACTCACAATCCTCCTGCCCCAACCACCCAAGGGTATGTACCACCACATCCAACTCTAAAAGTTCTGTTTCTAAATTATAAGACATATTTAGGGCAGGCAAGATGGCTCAGCAGGTAAAGGTACTTGCTGCCCAAGCTTGGCAACCTGAATTCAATTCCCAACACCTATACGGTAGAGGAGATAAGATCTATAAAACTTGTCCTTCCCCCCCACCCCCACATGCCCTTCTATACACCCAAGAGAACGAAATAATAAAACCATTTTTTAAAAAGATATATCATGATTTTCTGTTCATTTGGCTTCTATATTTTTGTTATGTTTTATATTCAATTTTTACAAGTATTTTTTTCTTCTAGTATTTTCAGTACATTATAAATACATATGTATTAACAGAATTTATTTAGGAGTAAGCTTACACATGAGCTTTTCCTACCCAAATACTTAAAAAAAAAATCAGAAAGCTACTATTTTCTTTACCAAAATCCAATATAGTACCAATTCAAGAAAATGATATTTAAAACCCAAGAGAATTTCCAATAGATCAAAAACACCAGATTTTAAACAGGTCTTTCTAAAGTCACGTATCTTAACATCTGCTGACCATCACTTTTCCCTAAAGACTTTCCAAATCAAGTGTGAAAGCTGGAGACTCCCACAGCATGCTGCTGTAGCTACTTCCTCTGAGTCAGGAACACGCCCACTGGAGGGGAGAGGAAGGCTCTGAAAGCTCTGGGAGCTCAGAAAAATAATGGACCGCTTGCCTCTGCTCAAAGCTGTACGGTCTGTGAACAATTCCAGGTGAAGATTCCCACAGAACTGCCTGAAGACCACGCAGGGCTCCTACATGTGGCTTTTGAACATTATGACCCATGCTGGGTGGCTCTTGCAGTGACGCAGTGGCCTTTGAATCGCCAAACCCCTCTGAGTCTCTAAGGAACCCCAATAAGCTCTCTGGTTGGAACTGTTTTGTGGTCTGCTGCTGGTGCCTGACTGCAGAGAACAGACATGGTGTTCACATCATCCCAGGAAGAATCACACAGGGCAAGCCTCTGAATTATGGAAATACTCTCTCCTTTACTAAACTTTGCCATGTTCAATTTTTCTGTCACAGGTGCTAACAACAGATCCTGAAACCTTTAATAATGGCAGCTTCTAACAAGAAGAGTTCTTCTAAATACCAAGTATGAAATAAGATGTTTGGCCAGGCATGATAGTGCACATCTTTAATCCCAGCACTTGGGAAACAGAAGCAGAGGTAGTTACCTCTCTGTGAGTTTGAGGCCAGCCTGATCTACATAATGAGACATTGTCTCAAAAAAGAAAAAAAATAATACGTTTATCACTCTAGTAAAACATGACCTGCATATGATCAAGTAAAAAAAGTTAACTCACCATGTGAGGAGCGCTAATTGTAGCTTGGAAACCTACAAAACAAGAAGAGAATATTGACACACTCAGCTATGAGAACACACCATTTAATGCACGTGGCTCCTTTTGTAACAGCCACACATTGTTTTTCACAATCTTTTTCAGTTTTTATGATCTTAAGCAAAATTTGTGAGAGAATTGACATAAGGTAAAGTTATAAAATACAATCACATCAAAGGATAATGTGCCCATCTAGTAAACCAACTCCTCTACTTCTAAAGATGCCTTCTGCATGGCTGGCTAACACCACTACTGTTTGAGACAAGGTCTCACATAGCCAAGGCTAGTCCAACTAGCCTCGGACACCTGATCCTCCTGCCTTCACCTCCCAGGGGCTCAGTTTACAAGCACGTGCCAGCTTGTAAACATCGGGCCAGTTCCTCTGCTGCTTTCTTCCTCTCTTTTTGAAAGGATCTCCAAATGAGCCCAGGCAGGCCCTGAGCTCAGCCTCATCCTGCCTTAGTCTCCCAAGTAGCTGGGATTACAGGCTTGCACCAGGAAGGATTTCAATACACTGAGAATTGATAGATTATTTTTCACTTATTTTCTTCAGATTTACAAAAAGAAAAACTTGTTTCAGTATAGTAAGCATGCAAAATCTTAACAAAATTAGTCTCACACTTCGGACAACACTTTAAAAAGTCAGATGACCAGCTAGAGACGAGTGAGCACTTCAGTGTGCTCCTCTGTTGCCGTCCAGTGCTCAATCACTGTCTGGTGCTAGTTTTCAGCCCGTGTCTTTCTTCCTTCCGGTGTTAGAGTCTCAAGACTTATTTACCTGCTTCTGCCTCGGAAGCAGTCTTCACTGAGCGGTGGTAGCAGGTGCCTTGGGGTTCAGAAGCTCCCCAGGATCTTCTTGCTGACTGTCACAGTGCTTCAAAAGAAGACATGGCAGCTGGCCCACAGAACCCTGAGGCACTTCTAAGCCTCAAAGGCGCCCACTGCCAAGGCTCAGCAGCTCAGCAAAACCTGCTTCAGGACAAGGAGTTAAATACGGAACTTTCTAAAGACAAGGAAAGCCAAAGCATCGGGACCAGTAAAACAGAAAAGCCAACAATGACTTACTTATTCCCTTTAAATGCCGATTTGAAAAATCAATGCCAATATGCAAGTTCAAAAGAGGGATCCTCAAACTTAGCACTCAGCTAAAACTAAAACTCTTAATTTTCTATAAAGTTTTGTTTTTCCTTAAAAAAAAAAATCCCCAAACTTCCTGATTCACAAAATATATTTTTAAAGACATAGAAGAAGATGCATTTTGTTACAAAGGGTAGGTTGGGATTATAAAATTGAGCGAGAAAATTTCAATTACTGGGGTTCTAAGTCATATCGGTATACTGCTCTTTTCCTACTCATAAAATTACAGAGTCCCTGAAGAAAATGAGAAATATCAAGCTTACCTATTGACTGTGGAGAATCCATGTAAGGGTTTGATTTTGCATAGTGGGAGCGGTCTGTAGCCAGCATCACTTCAAACACTTTATCTGTCTTGATGATTCCATTCTCTGAAATGAATGAGACAGCTATTTGAAGCAGATGTGGCATCAGATGTGTTTCAGAATCACTCTGGATGCACTGCAGAGTACAGACTGAAACAGGTAAGACCACAAGTCGCCGCCGCCGCCTCGATGCAGGCAGCGGTCACTTGGCTCCAATGACAGCAGTCAGGGTGGAGAAAAAGAGGAGGTTTCAGTTACATTCAGTAACGTATACTGAACCGACTCAATGACTGGACCGGACTGGAAGTGGGGTAACAGGTGAGGGGACAGTCACTTGATGATATGAGAAAGCCTGGAAAGGAATCAGGAGTAATCGAGAGCTGTGGTCACACAAGCAGGAGCATTCAGCAGTCAAGACATCCAAAGCTGAGGTTCAAGAGAGTCCTGAGTTAGAAATTATGCTGGGATTAAAGGCAAGCACCACCACTACCCAGACTATAAGTAGCTACTTTAAAAAAATGAGACTTCAATTAAAGCAACATGAGTAGCTTAATTATTTATCCAAACTAATGTCATTTATTCATCAATTGTGGAACTTTCAATTTTGGAAAATTAATGAGAGTCATACAGCTGTTCAAAAAAGACAATACAATAAAACCCTAAACCTGAGATCAAGAAAGGGCAGAAACAAAACCAAAATGACCGACAACATCACTCTCCCAGAAAGAGAATACAAAGTCATTCCCCCAAAAGGAAGTACAGTGCTAAGTACTGTGGGAGGCGCAGAGGCATTATGCTCACAGATAAGCACCAAGGGGACCTGGGATCCTTCAAGGGAAGGAATGTTATACCTGTTATCCACCCAGAAGCCTGGCGCCCATGTGCCTTCTCTAGTCTGGTGACCTCGGCGTTATCTTTGCGGCCAAAGACTTTTCTAGCACCTGACCCTCCTCCAGACCTTTCCTGTAAGCTTGTTTTTCTCAGTCAATCTATAGAACCTATCTTTATGGATTTTACAAAGAGTTTTGATGTAGCCATGTCTGACTTGTATTTTGCTTACTTTGTTCCTCAAGGAGATTCATGTATGTTTTCTTGTGCATGCTGGGTTGAGTTCATTATCACCAGAATTACAGCACTATTTAGAATAGTCAGTCAAAAAGTAGACAGAAACAATCCAAATGTCCATCAAAGGATGAATTGTGTAAAATGTGGTGTATCTGTGCAATGGAACATCAATGGAACATCACTTAATCACAAAATAGGATGAATTACTAATTCATAAAATGCAGATGAACCCGAAAAAAATTATGGAAGAGGTCAGTTATAAATTGCTATATGTTGTATGAATTTTAAATTAAATATCCAAAATCGGTAAATCCATACATTAAAAATAGATTAGTAGTTGCTAAAAGTTGAGGATGTTGGAAAACTAGGAATGTGAGACAGGTGCCTTTCTAGATAATGAAAATGTTAATGTGACCACAGCTGCGGTTGGACATCTCTGTAAACACAGCAAAACCCTTGAATGACACGATTTAAATGGATAAATTATACTGCATGGGATTTACCACAGTAAAGCTGTGTAAGGAAAAAACCACTTGAACGGGCAGGCAGCAAGCAGGCTCTGTTCAACAGGGAAGAGGGGATGCCTTGGGGCAAGACGTGACAAAGCGCAGGAAATGGAAAGGGAAGAAGCACCTCTTTCTCCCTCCCATTTTCCACCTCCACCACTGACATCATCACCTATCACAACCCTGTCAATCACAGAGCTCCTGGGGATGGCCTGAAGCCCTCCCCACAGGAGAGACAAAGGAAAACTAAGCTGGCCTCAGTCAAGGCTACTCTAAAAAGAAAAGGAAGATCAAAGCACTTCGATGGATGACTACACAGATGATTTGAAGCTCCCCAGAAAGTAAGCAATCCAGGAATAATCAACTTTAAAACAAATTCTGGAAAACTGATCCATTTTAAAGAAAAAAGAAAAGAATTAGAACCTCAAGGCAGGTTAAAAGCAGGAGGTAACATGAGGGGTTTTTTTAGAGACCATTCAAAGCAAAGCAAGAATGAAGCAATTTTCAAAAAGCTCAGATGAAAAACGGCAATAAGGAGTTACCACTGTTTCAAGAATTTAGGGGTGCACACAACCCTTCCTGTGGGTCCTTCTAGAGCCTAGCTTCTTATATTTTTGGTTGGGAGCCTAGCTTTTAATGGCTGACCATCTATCTCTCCAGCATGAGCCTAGCTTCTTCAACTATAGGTCACAACCCTATAACTGTGAAGATTAAAAATAAAAAAAGGAGGGGGGCAAATAAAAATGTTTCTGACAATGCAAAAGGGGCTGAAGAGATGGAGAGCAGTTAAGAGCACCAGCTGCTCTTCCAAAGAACCCTCGTTCGATTATCAGCACCCACATCAGATGCCAAACCAAGCTGCATTAAATGATTTTCTTATTTTTGGCAATCTATGTCATATATAACCGCCACTGTGAAGAAATATTTCTTTCAAATATAACTGATTTGTCTTTAGATGTGCCAAAAAGGTAATGTGCTGTTTTGCTTTGCATGTATGGCCTAATTAAAGGCTACACATCCGTCCAATCGCCATTAGCCTACCTGAAACAGTGAGCAGCTTTGGAGCCACCCACACTCAATCTGCTTGCAACCTTAGGGTACAGGGGCCCTAATTAATTAACTATCAAAGTGGCTATCATGAGTCCAAATATGTAGCAGATCCAAATAAGAACTTATTAGGGTTTTAACAGAATTTAAATTATAAGCCGAATTTTAAAAAGTTAGAAAAACTAAGGGCTATATTAAGAATGGATACATTTTTCCTTCCAATTTGGGATGTAGAAAGGGACAGAGAGTGAATCAAATTTCAGGGGGAAAAAACCCACAAAAATATTACACAAGAGGCTGGGCATGGTGAGATATGCCTTTAATCCCAGCACTTGGGAGGCAGAGGTAGACAGATCTCTGTGAGTTTGAGGACAGCCTGTTCTTAGGGCAACATAGTTCCAATTTCTTTACTAAAGTTGATAATATATTTTATTCTGAAAAGTGAATAAGTCTGTTCTGCCAACTTAAAAAAGGAGACCAGGGGACCACCTTGGGTGTTCTTCTTTAGACAATGTCCACCTTTTTTTTCTGAGACAGGGTCACTCTCCATCCATCAATGGCCTGGAAGTCACCAAGTGGGCTAGGTCAGTTGGCCCCTGGTCACAGGGATCCATCCTGTAGGATTACAAGCATAGATCACCATGCTTGGCTTTTTTTATTTTTATTTTTTAAACTTGGGCTCTGGGGATCGGGCTCAGTCCCTTGTGCTTGTAAGACAGGCACCTTGCCAAATGAGCTACCTTCCTAGATCCATGGACATTAATATATTTTCTTTTTTTGCTCCAGCCCTGCACGGACAGTTTATGAAATAAAATTTCTATCATAATGAGTAAGGTCCTGAGATGCATATTGTTCTGATGCAAAGCATTTGGCTTATTTTTAATGGTGTTCATCTTTTTTTAATGGCTCATCGGTATTTCTTTTTTAGGTATACTTTTGTAGGTACTTTTCTGGCCAAACTACAAGCTTCTCCAATCATTCTGCTCTGTTCATTTTACTTCTACTTTTCGCTATAAATTTGGCTAAAAGCATTTAGCTGGTAATATTCATGCCATAGCCTGAATGCTGTTTTTGCTCTGAAATTTCCTCTACAAGATAAACTGGTCTGTTGATTTAAGCTCAGGCTCCCAGTCTCAGGGCATGGATAAAATATAGTCCAACTGTTTCCCACAGGTTAACAGGGTGAGGTGACACTTAGTCCAATCGCCAACAGAATCGTTTCCACGGGAACCTCATCGGCATAGTATTTACTGTCTGCATTCTAATCTGTATTCTAGTCCTCCCAGTCTCTACCAGAATCACCTGCTAAACTGTGCTTTCAGCATCTTAAGCTTTTTCTAGCTTGCTTCTTCTACCTTTTCCAGATTCTTCCCATGAACAAGTTCCTGGGACTGCATTGCACTGTTTCAGGTATAGCTGTAGTCAGTGGCCCTACAATGTAATACCACTTTCTATTAGCCAGCTCTCTCTCGTCACGATAAGTACCTGAGGTAATTTATGTTCAGGTATATTCTGGTTCACAGTTTTGAAGACTTCAATCCATGTTTGATTTGCCCTATTTTTTTGGAGCTGTGGCAAGACCACCCAGGGATGGACATCAGTTGGTTCCATTGCACATGGAGGTAGACCTTGGCGTCATCCTTATGACAGTTTTTCAGGCATTGAGAAGGCCCAGTTACGGGCCTGGGGGGATGGCTCAGTAGTTACTAGCATTTAGTGCCCCTGCAGAGGACGGAGGCATGGCTCCCAGCACCCAGTGGCATCTTACAATGCCAGTAACCCTTGTAACAGAAGATTTGAAATCCTCTTCTAGATTACATAAGCACAGGCACACAATGGTGCCCATACATACATATATGCACACAAAACACTCACAGACATTAAATAAACCAATCTTTTTTAATTAAAATTATGGCATGGTAGAGATATCCCCTAAGAATACAAAGGAAAAGCCAGACAATCTATGGCAGAGTTGGGGGGCCCCTGTAAGGAGTCCTGAACTACGCAAAAATAATGAAGCTGAGGGAGTGAAGTGTAGGCTGCAGGAAGATTCTAGAAAGTCAGAATTGCTAGGAACATGGAACACCAGCCAAAGAAAATGACAGGCAGTGTACACATCTGTAAGAGGCTGAACGAGTGTCAAAACAAAAACCTGCAGGTGGGGCCACCCAAACCCTGGGTGTTCACGTCTGTTAGGGAACATCCTGAATACCAGACACAGAAAGAATTTTATGTTGGCCCTGCTGGGGCGTTGCCTTGAGTTTGTCTGATCCCATCTTTCTATGCTCCAATTACTCCCTCTTGGGATGTAAATGTATGCCTTTGCTTGTCCCACCACTCTACTTTAGAAGAATGTGATATGCATTTTTGATTTCTTACAGGGAATCACAACTAATTCTGCCTTCAGTCTCAGAGACTTTGGACTACTGAGCATCACCAGAACAGTGAAAACTGGGAACTCTTGGAGGACTAAAATGTATTTTATTTTATTATTTTTTTGGGGGGGCGAGGTGTTTGAAGACAGGGTTTCTCTGTGTAGCTTTGCACCTTTCCTAGAACTCACAGAGATCTGCCTGCCTCTTCCTCCCGAGTGCTGGGATTAAAGGCATGTGCCACCACCGCCCGGCAATTTTTTTTTAAATCTTCTTTTTGGTTTCGATTTGTTTGTTTGTTTGTTTGTTTATTATGTATACGGCATGTATCTCTGCAGGCCAGAAGAGGGCACTAGATCTCACAGATGGTTGTGAGCCACCATATGGTTGCTGGGAATTGAACTCAGGACCTCTGGAAAAGCAGTCAGTGCTCTTAACCTCTGAGCCATCTTTCCAGCCCATGTATTTTATTTTGTGAGGTGGACATGGGCCTTAAGGAGCCAGGAGCAGAATGTCATAGTTTGAGTCTGCAATTTCTCCCCAAAATTGGCCCCAGCTTGGCAACAGTGGGAAGTGGTAGAAGCTTCAAAAGTGGTGACCAGTGAGAAGTCTTCAGGTCACTGGTACCCTGGTCTCCTCTCCATTTCTCACTACCTGGCCATCACCTGAGAGTTCTATTTGGCCATGATGTGCTACCTTAACACAAACCCAAAGCAACAGGGCCAACCAGTCAGACTGAGACCTCCATAACCATCCCCAAGGAACCTTTCCTCTGTATAACTGGTTATCTCAAGGAACCAATAACAATGACAATACAGCAAAAGGGGTGGCTATGGAAGGACTGCTGGGGGTGGGGTGGCATGGAAATATTTTTATGGGATACAAATAAACCTTGGAGAAATGAGGAGGACCAGTGTAGGTGTAAATTAGACGGATTTAAAATCTGGTAAAACTTTCCCCAAACTCATTATAAAGATTCATCTCAAGGGCTGAGTATGTAGCTCAGTGGTAGAGTACTTACCTAGTATGTGAAAGCCTTGAGTTTGATTCCCAGTGCCAAAAGATGAAGGGGTGTGTGTGTGTGGGGGGGGTCTCAATAAAAGAAGTACTATCCATTTTATTAGTTTATAAGAGTTAATATGATTTATCTTGCATTTCTTCTCAAGTATCAACAAGCCAACAAATTTTTCACCTTTTACTTCTCATCCAGAATGGTTAAATGAGGTAGACTCAAAACACGCGGAGGATATAAAGTCTAAAAGAGTAGATTTAAAACTACACTATAATCAAAGAAGTAGCTTACGTAACAGCAAAGACAAAGTGTGTCATCTAAGTACCAGGTATTATTCAAATGTACATGGTTGTCCTCTACACATGTTGGTTTTAGTTGGTCTGTAAAAGTAAACTGTTTCAATGTTACTTCCCAAAGGAGAAGGCTATGTTTCTTAGGTGCCTTTTCATCCATATGTAAAAGTAGGTAACATTGGCAGTTAATGTTAAAATGTTTGCTTCTTTGCCTGGCTCCTGAAACATACATACTCCATAAGCATTATGCAATCTTTAATGCTATTTTAAAATCACACAATCTTGGATTTGGAATGTTCCTCTTAGAACTAATGTATATTCAAATCTGATAACAAATCCCTCTGTAGCGTCCCTTACAGTGAAATAGTCAGCCATCCTCTGCTTTAGTATACCTAGTGACAGAAAGCATCATTTTTCAAAACAATTTTTTTTTTCTTTTTTGAAACAGGGTTTCTCTGTATAGCCCTGGCTATCCTGGAACTTACTCTGTAGACCAGTTTGGACCAGAACTCAGAACTCTGCCTGCCTCTGCCTCCTGAGTGCTGGGATTAAAAGCATACACCACCCCACCTAACTTCAAAGCAAACTTTTGATTGTTAAGGTAGGCTCTGTTGAGTTCTTCCTTATAATGAGTCCACATCTGCCACCTGCTTTATCTTCTTCTACATATTTCAAGTGTTTTATTATTCCCTAAAACCTTCGCTATGCTAAATTGGGCACTTCAGTCCCATCAAAGTATATCTAATATGCCAACTCTTTTGCTCTCCATCACACTTGTTCAATGGTCCTTGGTTTTTACTGTCACCCTAAAGCACTCAGTCAGAAGACACAAATACTAGTACAAATACATGTACAATACAATGTAACTTGCTCTTCCTACAGCTTAATTTCACTGTAAGTAGCATGTAAAAGAGCCAATCATCTAGATCGAACAGAACTTCCTGTGACAGAGGGTATACTGTATAACTGTATTTTTCAGCAGGGTAGCCACTAACTTCATGAAGTTACCAAGGCCTTGAAACATGGCAGAACTGAAAATTTAATGTAGATTTTACTTAAGTTAAATGTAAGTAGATACACATTGATTTTTTCCCCTTGGTATGGTACAGGAAACTGAATCCTGACCTCATGCATGCCAGATAAGAACTCTATCATTGAGCAACATTCCCCAGGTCACCTAATATCAAAAGTTTAAATCATAACAATGAGATAGTGTCCTATGTACACACCATGAGTTACTATCTGTCAGTAAAACTACCCCGAGATGGCTCAGTGCTTACTGACATGCCTGATGACCTGAATTTGATGCCTGGAACCCATGTAAAGTGGAAGGAGAGAATTGACTCTGTAAAGCTGTCCTCTGACCTCCACATGTACACACACACACACACACACACACACAGACAGAGAGAGAGAGAGAGAGAGAGAGAGAGAGAGAGAGCGCTCCAATTTCTTAGGCTCTTATGAGCTGGTCATGTTTATCTAATGTGCATGTAACGAGTAAAGGGCTATTAAGACAAAATGCTCATTTCCACTAGGTACACTACTAAATAAGCACAGATGCTGTGAGTGGGATAAGAGAACCATTTTAGTGGGGTGTGGTATCGCACATCTTTGGTTCCAGCACTTGGAAGGCAGAGGTAGGTGATCTCTATGAGTTCAAGGCCAGCCTGATCTACAAATTGAACCCCAGGACAGCTAGCTAGGGCAATTGCACAGAGAAACCCTATCTTAAGAAGCCAAAAGAAAGGAAGAAAGGGAGGGAGGGAGGGAGGGAGGGAGGGAGG